CTACCATATCCTTTCGTTGACAGACAGAATTCTGTTAAGAGAGGACATTAATCGAAAAAGAAATACCTCATCCTTTGATCGTAACGCATAGACAGTGACATCTTATCTGTAGTAGGTATTTGGCATGAAGTGAATTGCATAACTCTTGCTGTAATAGCCCCTTCTGTTAAGTGTCTGCTCCAAACTTGTATTTAAAAAAGAACTACAAACCTACCTCTCTAACCATGAGTGTATGTTTATAATTTTTATGTATATTGTAAGAAAATTCTTTTAATTAGTAATGAAATCAATAAATAGTAATATATAATAAGTAACCATAGGTGGTTTACCTTACTATTGTGGTTACTATACATACATATATGTCCACTGCTGGGCAAAGGTCGCCTTTGTGTACAAGGACATAGTCGGACACGCTACTGCGGATTGGCAGTCAACATATCTTCGAAATTATTATTTTTTTAATAATTATTTCCATAATATGCAGCCAACATTAATCATTGAGCACTTGCTTGCTTTAGTGTACGTACTAAATTAAGATCATGTGGTGGGACACGATCTATAACGGTTCCAATTAAAAGATTAATTCTGATATAAGTCAGAAATAACCAGCTTTGCTGCCACAGTCCTTTGTTATAATACTAACGGCCGGTTTCTGGAACACTGATCAATAAGAAAATCGTTCTGATCAATTCAGAGAGTTTAACAATCTTTTTGGCAACTCACATAACATTTGACAGCTGATTAGTAAACTTCTACGTTGATCAGTGTTTCAGAAACCGGGCTTAACTGCTGCGATCGTCCGAATGTGTAACGACATTTCCAATACTAAATTCAGTGTCCCTCTCGGCTGCAATAAAATGTTAGCAATGACATTTAAAACTAGGTTCGCTTAAGAATACTTTAGATAATTCCAACAGCACACTAGGTATTTGTCCCACTTTCACGTCTGTGTTCAAGTCGCTACTTATCCAAACTATGTCATTCGCTCTGTGTCCAACCAGACTTTAATTCGATCCTATCTCATTCGAGTGGAACCCCGGATGTTGGAGTATATAAAGTTATAATTATGTCTATTTAAAAAACTAATCTAATTCTCTCCACGCCCACGAAATAATAAGGTAAGTAAATTACAATAATATTTTTCGTTTTTATAATAAAATTGGGGGAAAGACATTTAAAACGTATATATAACATTAGTACAGTACCCGATCCAGATCAATTAAAAAAGCGGATTTCAGTCTTTTTTTTTTTCACTGATCTCAGAAGAAGAACAGAAGAAATAATCGTATCAGAAAATGCTTTTGGACGTGAAACAATGATATTTTATCTGTGACTGTTGCATGTTTTTGTCAAAATGGGCAGCGGTAATCACTAATTACATACATAGAAACTGAAACTTACTGTGTGCTTTCTGAATTGACAGCAGTAGGCTTTGATATCTTCAGTTAGGTTTGAATACGTTGGGTTTTTATATGCCCATTGGTGGCATTGGTGGTATTTAACATCATTTTAACATCATTCATATTATATGCAATGATATTTAATAATATGGATGACGCATGTCCACACTGCGCTCCGTTTAGAAGTTCATTTCCGCTCCGCTCTACATTATATGGCATATATAAGTGATGTGACAGATGGTATAGGACGTATCGTACGGAAAGAGATATTAGTCCATAGAAGTACAATCTAATTACACCAATTATGTAATTCTTTTCCCTAATACAATTATTATGCTGCAGTTCAGTCCATGGCTCACCTGATGTCCTGTCCTGCTTGCCCTTTCACCTGTTCGCAGTAGGATTTAACGGATGCCACAAATTGTGCAGTTCAAGTGGCTAAGCTGGATACGATTTGTCATCGACACGTAAAGAAAAATATTATACCGATTGTACAACGAGCTAAGTACTATCGTTGTCGTAGATACGGCTTCCGTACGCGTGAGACACGTGTACCCGAAATTCGGAAGTTTGTTCCGGACCAGTCTGGCCTCTGCATACAGACCAGTCTAGGTACGTGCATAAGCAATCTCCCACGCGCACCTTGCGCAAGCTGCGATCTCGTTATACGCGCCTCAAACTATCCGTTGTCGTGCGATACGATAAACTGTTTATAGTTTTTCGTTAAAATAATCGTATAAGTAAAGCCTAATGTAATTTGATACATTCATATAAATGTATAGAGAGAGGTATTGTTTGATTGTTGATATTTGAATTAAGTTCTCCTGGCACTTATGTAAGAGGAAAAAATTTTTATTAAATAAACTTGCATTCTAATAAAATTACATAAATAGACATTAAAGGTAGTAAAAATAAACACGCTTGAGACACTGTCAAGGTCTCAATTCATTGTACGCGACTTCAAAATGTGCTGGTGCATTTCGCTAGCTGTGGTAAGGCCACGCAACCCTCCGGGGAAGTACCACGCCCTCTACAAGAGCGGCCAAATGTGGAAGAATAATATTTCAGCGTTTCGTCTGGCAATTGAGGTAACTGGGCCCTGCTTTATTAAAAGTTGTTAACGCATCTCTAACTACCGGTGTTGCAGATGTACATGGGGACAGGATAGATTTTTTGTTGACGTTCAATAAGAGCTTAAGTTAGGACTATATTGAATAAATATACTTTGACTTGAGATATAACTTAACATCAGGTGAACCTCAAGCTCGCTTGCCACCTTACATAAAAAGTGAGAACGTAATGAGGCGTACCGATAATTTTGATTTAATTTTGCGATGACCCGAGCAGATTTAGGTCCGTCGCCCATGGACGCTTCCGATTCGTAGCTGAACAATTTACTGGAGTATGTCAAGTAAAACGTTGGTGCCTTTTAGACAAGGATACAACCTTTTGTAAGCCCCTCGTCTAACCTATTTTTTCTGAGCAGCCGGCCACTTATAATCAAGTGGGATAGTCAAGCACTAAACCTTATAAAACATTTTTCCATCGAGAATCCACAAATTGAGGCCCACGCATCCAACTACCTAGTTTAAATACTTTTAGATCACGCCGATCTTCTGTGAGGTCGTAGACTTACCCGGACGGACCTGCCCATTTTTGCTACAGCGTAGACGTCGCCCTGCAACAGTTAATAACTTTATCAAACTTTGTAAAACTTTATCATTTTTTTTATTACAAGTAATGCTATTTTGACGTCATGTCTCCAAACGTAAACAAAGTTAGAGGTGCAATGGAAACGGTTCCTCAACAGGAATATTGCAAAGATGACAATCACGATTCCAGTCGTGTCGCGAACGTCTGCAATCTGAATAAAGAGGGAAAGCATTTTAACTCCGTTTATAGTCGGTTTTATTGGAATATAAAAAGAAACCAGAGTAGGGGCGTCGCCGGAATAGAGGATTAGTTACGATGACGAACGCAATATTGCACAATGGTCTTCCGTTGCGAAAGCCTTGGATGCCGCTTTTGTTCGGCTCGAACGGAATTAATGACATTAGTGATAATGCGAAGGATGTACACGTTAATTTGCTTTCAGATGACGGATGCTTTTGTGAACGAATCTAGCCATAGCGACCTTCACTTAGATCGGTTCCAATGGCCGAATTGTCTTTTACCGTTTTATTTCATGGTACAATATTTAGCTATCAAAATATACATTCCTACATAAACACCTCACACCCTCTACACAGAGGTATAGACAGAGATTACCACTTCCCTCGATCCTTACATACCTCATTAGCTTCTTCGCATCCATAAACTCATCACTGTTATGGTAATTACACCTTCTTCTTTAAAACAAACATACTCATTTCTGTGCTAATATTTTACTATTGTGGCACTGCACCTACCACGATTTCTCACCACACCCCGGGTTCACCGGAAGAGAATGCCAAAAGGCATTGAGTTCGCCCTTTGTAATCCTTTTTTACGGAAATTGCAATAAATTAAAAAAAGAAATAAAATCTGATCTTTACGACTCTTCATTATGAAATCAGTAGCGGTTTTGTTACATTATCGTATGACGATAACGATGACAAACGCTGTCGTCTTTTATATCTTAATTCTCTTTGATATTAAACTGTATACGTTCGTTTTGATGTTACCGTAAATGTGTTAGTTATGCTCAAAGTTTTACCGCCTTGCATGAACAAGAAGGAAATTACTAGTTCTCCATTGAAGCTTTAATTTTATCGAACGAAGGCTTACTAACATCGAACAGTTTAATCATAATTATTGTTGGTGGTGTTTTTTACTCGATATTGTTCATTGAATTAATGGATGAATACAATTTCATTTTCCACCACAAGTGAGAGTATACATAAAAGGGACAATAGAATAACAAATTTATGTAATGTACAATTGGGCCGCCTCATCGCTTCATAGCGATCTCTTCCAGGCAACCAATGGCGTAAAGGAAACGAATACATTATTATTGATTTTGTAATATATGTATTGTTCTTGTCGGTAGAAGATTATAATGTTTTCGGCATGTACCCTCGTCTAATGAATCAGTCAATAAATGGCGGTTGTACTATTCAACGCGTTTTAATATCTGCTCCCGAATCCCTCAAATAGTGAAGGACATTACAGTGGCGACGAGTTTATTTTTGTTAATAATTGATTAATTAAAAGTTAAATTCACGCGTCAAAATGTCTATATTCGGCAGTGTGTCCGTCTTCGATTGCAAAACAGACGAATGGATTGTACACGTAGTGCAGCTAAATAATTTCTTCGTGGCAAATGATATCAATGACATTACCGATCCACATGGAACGAAAAGACGAGCAATTTTATTGAATGGCATGTCTCAGGACTCCTATCGTCTGACACGCGATTTATTGCATCCAGATGCGCCTGAGTCAACGGATTATAATGTTATTATTTCTACGCTTAATGGTCATTTCGATCCCAGGAAATGCGTATACGCAGAAAGGCAGAAATTTTATGCAGCTGCAAAGGAACCTCAAGAGTCAATAACTGAGTTTGTCGCTCGTCTTCGTGGTTTAGCGTCGGAATGTTATTTTGGGTCGTCACTAGAAATGTGCTTAACGGACCGTTTTGTACTGGGTATTGACTCAGCTTCGGTCCGTGAAAAGTTGTTTAGAGAAGACCCGAATCAGCTCAAACTGACCCGAGCTGTAGATCTAGCGCGCGCTGTGGAGAGTGCGCAGCGTATTGTATCTGCTGGTGAATCGGTACCGGTGACCAAAACGGAGTCATTACTTTATACGGAGTCCCGTCGGAGAGGCAGCACGCGCACCGGTCGCAGCGCTGGTGGCAGCGCCGGTGGCAGCGCCGGTGGCAGCGCCGGTGGCAGCGCCGGTGGCAGCGCCGGTGGCGGTGGCAGCTCAATATGTGGCGTTTGTGGCGCGAGGTCACACGACGCCGAAGCATGTGGTTACCGTCATTTGTCGTGTAATGTGTGTGGTGAAAAGGGGCATTTAAAAAGAATGTGTTTAAATAAAAATGTAGCTAACAGGCCTACGGCGACAAGGAACGCAGTTTTTAGAAAAAATGGTAGTCCACGGAACAATTATATTTTTGAATGTATTGACAGTGACGATTGTAGTGAATTGCTACAGGTTAATGACACTAGGTATGACTCTTCTACTGTAAATAATATTTTGTGTAAGGATGAAAACCCGCTGGCTCTGGAGGTGAGTGTGCGGGGTGTTGCACTCATTATGGAGGTCGATTCTGGAAGTGGGATGTCGGCACTGCCCGGACACCTGTGGCGTATGTATTTTTCTCGGTACACGTCGCTCGGTAAGTCAAAACTTTACGTACGTATAATGGATCAGTCTTGAGTCTGCTCGGAGTTTGTAAGTTACCGGTGACGTATAATAATGAAACACACGATATTCATTTTTATGTTGTAGATAATGGTCCCGTTCCCTTGCTAGGCAGGGACTTCATGTCAAAATTTAATTTTGCCCTGATTTCGCTAAATTATTGCTCGTTAGGAAAAGGAGAATCAATTTTAGACAAATATAAAAGTTTGTTTTCGGGTAACCTCGGCACGTTTAATAAATATAAAATAACATTACATTTAAAAGATGGTGTTACGCCAAAATTTTTTAAAGCTCGGTGTGTGCCATTTGCACTTAGAGATAAGGTTGGAGAAGAGTTGGACCGTTTAGTGCGCGTTGGAATACTCAAACCGGTTTCTTATTCGAAATACGCGTCACCGATCGTTGCTGTGCTTAAGAAAAATAATGACGTACGTATTTGCGGCGATTATTCAAAGACTATCAACAAAGCATTAATCGTAGACTCTTATCCGTTACCGAAAATTAGTGAATTATGTGTTGTTATGTACACGGTTGCAAATATTTTAGTAAGCTCGATTTATCAAGTAGCTATAATCAGTCTCCACTGGATGAAGCGTCACAAGAGTATACGTGCATAAATACGCATAAGGGTTTGTTTGTTTTCACGAGATTGGTCTTCGGTTTGGCGTGTTCGCCAGCTTTGTTCCAGCGTGCTATGGTGCAACTTCTGCAAGGTATAGAGGGTGTGGTGTGTTTTCTTGACGATGTGTTAATCGCTGCTCCCATTCCCGAATTACATTGGAAACGCGTCGATTCTGTATTAAGCAGGTTTCGTGATGCTGGTCTAATGTTACAGCGATCCAAATGTTCTTTTTTTCAAAATAGAATAGAGTACTTAGGCTTTGTTATTGACCACTCTGGTATTCATACAAATCCCGATAAGGTGGAAGCTATTGCAAAAGTAAATATCCCAGAGAACGTTAAGCAGTTAAAATCGTTTTTAGGATTAGTTAACTTTTATCGTAATTTTATACCGCAAGCGGCGGTTATTCTTGAGCCACTACATAAATTATTAAGGAAAGATGTGCCTTGGACTTGGGGTGCGGAACATCAAAAATCATTCGATGCAATCAAGAGCGAGTTGAGCTCGAGTCGCGTGTTGGCACACTTTGACCCGAGCCAGCAACTGGAGCTAACGGTGGACGCGGCGCCCGGCGGGCTGGGCGCGGTGCTCGCCGTGCGCTACAGCACGGGTGCTGAGCGACCCATCAGCTACGCTTCTCGTGCACTCAGTAAAAGTGAGCGAGCTTATAGTCAAATTATGAAGGAAGCGACTGCTATTATTTATGGTATCAAAAAGTTTCATCAATATCTGTATGGTCGACAGCAACCATTCATATTGAGGACAGACCATAAACCCCTCTTATCTATTTTTTCACCAGATAAGGGTGTTCCTCAGATGACGGAAGCCCGGCTGCAACGTTATGCTTTGTTCCTTTCGGCTTATAATTATAAGATAGAATTTATAAATAGTGAGGGAAATGTGGCAGACTATTTGAGTCGTTTTCCTATCGATTGTGATTCGTCTCGAGATACGGCAATCTCAGAATTTTCGATTCCGAGTTATGTGAACGCGCTAGCTGCGGCGGGCGCGCCACTGCCCGCGTCGTTAAATGACTTGCGCGATGCTTTCAAACAAGATAAAATCCTGTCACTTGTTATGCACCATGTTACTCATTCGTGGCCCCGGAAGGTTCCACCGGAACTGCCATATTATTATCGATGCCAACATGAATTATATATTGATAATAACATTTTAATGAGGGGTCATCGAATAGTGGTGCCATCGATTTTTAGGAAGGCGGTGTTGCAAGAACTGCATGCCGCACACTTGGGTATGATTAAAATGAAGATGTTAGCTAGAGAACGCTGTTGGTACCCGGGTATAGATCACGACATAGAAGTATTGGTTTCTAATTGTGACCGGTGTGTATCCTTCCGGGCTAACCCCACGAGAGCATGCCTTGAACCCTGGGAATGGCCCAGGTCGGTTTTTGAAAGAATACATTTGGATTATCTCGGCCCCTTTCGTGGAAAAAATGTTTTTAGTGGTGATTGATGCTCACAGTAAATGGATCGAATGCGAATTAATGTTAAATTTGTTAACGAAAGATCTTATCATTAAATTAAAGAAACTTTTTTCTCGTTTTGGTTTGCCCAATACTATTGTTACAGATAATGCTAAAACTTTCGTTTCGTCTGAATTTTCGAAGTACTGTACTGATAACGGCATAACTCACATTTTGTCTCCGCGTATTCGCCACAAAGTAATGGACTCGCTGAGAACGCGGTTAAGATTTGTAAGCGTTTTATCATTAACGCCATCAAAGATAGCGGCTTAAAGGATTTTGTAAGTCAATTAGATAACTATCTGTTTCATTACCGGAATACACCGCACTGCACTACGGGTGTGTCTCCTGCGTCACTCACGTTCGGTCGTAGTTTACGCTGTAAACTAGATTTATTTGGTAATAAGTATAAAAGCATAAGTTCAAATTCCGAAACACAGTTGCACAGCCGAGTACTATTGAATCAAAACCGACAAAAATATTGGTTTGGTGGCAAAATAAAATCGTTTACGTTACGAGACAGAGTTTGGGTGAGGGACTATCGATTTAACGCGAAAAGACCACGATGGATCCTAGGCCAGGTCATTGCGCGAGTTGGTAAAGTAATGTATGATGTGGCTATACTGGGTAGCGATATTGTTTGGAGGCGTCACGCGAATCAATTAATTTCAGCCAATTCTTATAAAGGTAATAATTGTGCTGGAGCATGGACGTTTGAGGGCGTGAGTACCGAGGATAATCCTTGTTTATCTATACACACAGACACACAGACACACCTGGGGATAACACAGCTTACAGGCCGGTTACCCCCAGGAACTACGCCTAACACTCCCACTGTGAACCAGACCTTGCGCAGTAGTAGTGAAGCCTCCGAGTGGGCTGAGTCAGAAGACTCATTCGGTACGCCGTCAAATGCAACAGACTTAGGGCAACAACCCCGCACACCTATTCCTGACGAGCCAGGTATTCGCACTCGATCTGGTCGCTTGGTAGTACCACCTAAACGATTAATTTTGTAACTTTTTGTTTTTGTTATTTTTTTGTTTTGATTACTGTTATGTATTAGGATAATTAGTTTTTATTTTTTTTTGTATTATTTGTCTATGTTGTGGAGGAAGAAGAATTATTGAGAAAAATAATGTTACAAACATATGTTGTGAATTCTCTAGTTTACAATATTTCTCGAAATTCAATGCTATGTGTATAATTATAACATTGTACGCTGGTACCTCGCATAGTCTATCCTGTATTGATATGTCTTGTTGTCAAATCTTCCACAAGTTGTATTTTTATATTATACTCATACCACCTGTGTTGTCAATTTAAGCGGGGAGGGATGTAATATATGTATTGTTCTTGTCGGTAGAAGATTATAATGTTTTCGGCATGTACCCTCGTCTAATGAATCAGTCAATAAATGGCGGTTGTACTATTCAACGCGTTTTAATATCTGCTCCCGAATCCCTCAAATAGTGAAGGACATTACAGATTTAAAAATATATTGGCGTTTTCTAACATATTAGTAAACAATGTAGTACTGTGATCGTTTATTTGCATTTTAGCTAAGGCAACAGTGTTTGTTACAACAGTGAGACGTGTTAGAATCATTGGCGTGTTGGTAATATCTTGTACGCATGGGAAAAGCTGAGAAAAGCATAGAGAAAATATGTGCACTTGTAAATCTAGAAAGTCACTTAATCTAGGCGTTATTTACCGGCCAGTTCATTCGGGCAATAGGAAGAATTGATGCGTAAGAACTCGAGTTTAGTTATGTTGAACACGCACAAATTTAAAAAAAAATTAAGTAAGTAAATAACTTAATAATAACAATAGGCAACGAACATATTACGTTTTATACATTTTTAGAGGTTAAGAAACTATGACTTCTATATAAGTTAAATTAAACGCGATTGAGTACTTAAGTGAATGTCTTTTTTGCCTTATTATTACAAACAAATTTACTCAAGTTAAGAAAACTAACAGATCAATCGAAATGTTTCCTTGCTTCTTGAATGCTTTTATTTTATTTTAGATCTAGAGGTTTCAAATTTACTATATCTTTATTTAATATATCCAAATATTATTATTTATTTAATATATCCAAATGAAATTTTAATTTTACGGACTATTATTAGGAAAAATAAAACTTGTACTGTCTAAGACGGTGGAAGTTTTAATTACGAACCAAGAACTCAAGATTTTGATGATAAAACGAATAATGTTACATTTTATTGGTACATCCAACGACGTTACAAGCGTTGAAAGAAAAAAGGAAGATTAATTAGATCTTGTAAGCTTTCGGCTGAGTCTGCCAAGGCCTTAATCTATTGGCGCCAGAGTTCCAAGGCCGCTAGAATTATCTCTTCTGTGCTTAGTCTATAGAAGTGCTTGCAATATGTTTTATAGTTGAGCATAATTAATGTCTCCTTGCGTAAGTCTACACATAAAAATAATCTTTTCGATTCGAACCCACACCGCACACATAAATCAAACATAAAAATTGATGTTACAAGCTTTGACAAATTTTGTTGGAAATTGTGAGTAAACTTACGATTGATAACTAATAAATTTGTTTATCGAGTAATTGACTAAATTATTACTTATCGTGTGTTGTAGTGCCGTCTCACTCTGCCCCGAAACAGTGAGCGAGTGGGAACGACGCGGAAAAAGACATCGTAGAGGACGACACTACATCTAAGGTATTGCTTTCTTTGCCTCGTAAGTAGGTTGCTTCGGTTATGTCAGGTGCGGAACGCTAAGAGCTGCCATTCCACTTGTTTGTGACAGGCCTTAAGCTTACCGATTAAAATTATATACTTAAATTGCTATTATAGCTTTATTAGTATCCAGGCAAGATTTATTTGGTGAAAGTGTGAATTATTAATATTCAATTTATTACAGTCCGTAAAGTTTAATTTTGTTTAACATCGTAGAGTCGTTGTATTTTTGTTTAAACGCTTTCGTTGCGTATGACACCAAATGAAATTACGTTTTCATACATTGGATACTCATACAAGGAAGACATGCGATGTTTTCGGCTCGGTCATTAAACGCCGATCATAATCTGTTAAGAAAATTAAAGATATGTGAAATGTATCATTTGGTCTCCATGGGTTACGCCCTCGTATTCTTTGTGATTAAAAAAACTTTCGAAGACTTAATTACTTCCGATAGGAGGCCTTTACCCAGATCGATGCCGCTCTTAGCCAAAGTCGTAGTTAATGACATTAATCAATCTGGCATTGTTTCAAACACTTGTGAATGTCAAATTCACCATCGATTCGTACAAATCAACTTGCCCAATGAAGAGCCAGTGAGGAACTGCGGCTGTACACAGATTTTTTGTCAGCAAACAAATCACTTCCGGTCTGGGCGGCTTCTCTGCGTTCGGTATCTGTATTGTTTCTCCGTTTTATTCACCTGTGGTTGTCGCAGCTCCGCGTAGTTCCTCTCACTTGATTATGCGCGGTGCGTTGGCGCGATTAGCACACCCGCGACGGCCGGCCAGCCAGTACCCGTGCGGGGCGCAAGACGAGTGCCCGCACGCACCGTGGCCACGACACGCGCAGCTATGCACGTGCGGAAATTCGCCGTGCGCAAATTCGATCTGGTGAGATCCGTCCTGGACGTCTACGATCGGTAAATCGGTGTATGTGTGTGTGCCGCGACGGCAGGTGGGTCTTGTTAACAATTATACATAAAAAAGGTCTCGTCGCAGATATCAGCCTAGACAGATTTACTGATCTGAACCCGTTCAGCTCAACTTACAATCGAAATTGTGATGCATATGTCGTAGCAAAGGTTGCTTTTTGCTTAAATGAGGGTATATTTCGTTAATTGTTATCATCTGCATCGATTAGATTACTATAATTTTTCAAACAAATATCACGAAGTAAACATATGTGCTAACTTATATTGATACTTAGATTTTGAAAAAATAAAAATACTTAAATGTTGCAATGCTAAAGAAATCCACCATTACTATGCGTAAAAAATTCATTTGTGTCAAAATTTTTGAGAAAGAACGTCTTTATTTTGTTGGAGAATACAGTACTATTTATTCATAAATTAAGATAATTAGGTTCAACATTCATTTATTACAAACTAATAGTTTAGGTTTGTTAGGTTTCAAGAGGCAAGAGACGTGACTTATATCAAGGTATAATTATTTTATTCCCAAAATCTAAATGTTGGCGCATATTTTACTTTGTAATTAGTGTTTCGTTACAAAGTCTTTCAATTTTAAAATATTTGTGCACGAAAAATGTGCGTACCCCTACTGTAAACAATTACCAAAACCGCTTAGGTCTTAAAGAACATTTTTTTTCCCAATAAGCAAAGAAACTGTATTCCACAAAACAACAGAGCATAATCCGGCAAATCCGGTTGCATGAATTTCGTAGATATGTCGTAATTAACGTCGAATGCCTCAATGAAAATCACACGGTAATTGTATAGCATATCAAAGTTGCCATAGAGGTGTTTACAACTAAATGGAGCGATATAAGTGGCAGGTCTACGAATATTATTTTTCTCTTCCAATAATAAATAATTTTATAATGTATCGAAAATTTTAAGTTTGCGAAGATTTTGCTGGTTTATGTTGAATTTGCTCTTAGTACATTTTTATGAAACAAGTTTGCGAATCAGTTGATGGTTCACCTTATGTTAAGTTTTTAACATCGCCTGTGGATATCCGGAATACCCAAAGTTGCAGTAGTGTTAACTGTTTTATATTTTAATTTTTATCATTCCATCCACTTTATGCCTAATTGTGTGATAGCAGAAGGCATAGCGTGGTTGTATCCAAAAAAATATCTCTCTATTCTAATATTATTATTTTTTTATGTGAAAAGTTGCCAAGCGAGCAGACGGTTCACCTGATGTTAAGTGAATACCGCCGCCCATGGACATCTGCTACACCCGAGGGTTCCAGATACCATATACCATCATATGTTTGATAATAGATTTCGTCAATATTTATTAAAACTTGACAATTTTCATGCGCTCGCGTTGAAGTCTTTTTAATAGAAAAACTAATGTTTGTCCAAAAACTTTAAATATTAGGTACTGAAATTTTGCACAATTTTTATTTATCATTTCTGTTCTACTAAAATGTTAAGTTATTCCCTATAAGTCATTAGTCATTTCTAAATGTTGATTGCTTCTATTTGTGTTGTTTGTCCCAAAAATGTAAAAGCATGCATGTTTTTGTAATGGCGAGACTTAAAATTAAATATCGTAACTCAATTTAAAGCGTATCATTTCCGAATAGCTACTTATTACTCCTTTCATACATATTAAATCGGCACATTATAATTTTCGCAAGACCATCAATACGCGTGTTTCTCAATTGAGCCGTAAATGCTCAATGTCCGGATGCTCGCTTTTAATTCGATTTGCTCGAGCAACCCGAGTTCGATACCCAGTACCAGAACAAATTAAATTGTTATTTTTAAGTGCTGAATTATCATGTGCTCATCGGTTTCAGAATACATCGCGAGGAAACCTATATATTTTCGAAATAATGACAAAAAAATATATATGGAAGATATGTATGAAAATTTTTACTAATGAACTGCGCCTATCTAAAGACGCTCTAAAAACTGAGCTATACTTACCGCGTAAAAATTCCGACGTGAAAATCTACGCTTTTTTTTATTCCATTTGTAGCATTTGCGTCATACTGGCGAACTGTTTTTATGAAAATTTAACTACATACTTTAGTTTCATCTTAAGCGATACCACTAGCACTAACTAACAAAATTAATCAAAAATTTCACCTTATTAACTAAGAAATTCTTTGAATTCTAACGTATTCATTTGTGGTCCTGATTTTATCATTACTTCCTTTATCTTCTATCCATTTCCAGACTTTGGCTAAACTTTCAGATGATTGTTTATGCCAATATGTGCAACAAGTGTTGAACACTGACTAATCCTTATACAACGTAAGTCCAGAGGCTAAGTAATGAGCCACGATCTCCACCTTTCCTCTTTCGTTCCAGGTACGTTTGTGCGCCGGTTGATCTCTGATCTCGTGACATTTCCTCATGCTCTGTATATATTTGCAAGGGCGAGGTGCTATGACGTCATCAAGTTTCAATTGTTCTACGGAGAAATACGCGAACAAATAACAATCAGATGTATTCAATACACTGACACATTTTATTAGCAACCTTATAATTTGGAAACATGATTTTGTAACTTTTTCATATTCCTATTCCCATTATATTGTTGTAATTAATAAAAAACAGAACCGTGACTTAGAACCATCGTCATTAAAACTCATTTGTAAAACTTTTTAAAGAACTTACATTTATTATATCGTTGCGTGACTTTGAAAAGACTTGTTCATGCGATTGCCAACGAAGGTGCTAATCAAATAACTAACTAATCAAAACGACAGCATAAAAAATATTTAACACCAAGTAATATTCATTATGAAAATATTCTCTTCGCAAGTTAAACTTCTTTCCAAAATGATTAAGATGATAGTCTTAACGATATCATTAAAGTAACAATTATTAGTTTAAAATGGTTAATTTTATGCTAATATTGTAGTGAACTGGTAATATATTTAAAGAAAAATTGAAAAAATCGACAATTATATTCGACAGTATTAATTTCAACATAGCTCTCATAGCTCTAGATATGTAAATGAATATATTATGCCCCTGAGAAACTTCTAAGCTATTGTATAGATTCACTTTACAACTGTCCGCCGAAAACTTTTTATAACTCAAAGTCCGTTGTCTTAGTTTTATGCCAGGAGCTAAATTGTTTATATACCTAGGCGTTGTTATTTCATTAATAAAGTTCACTAATTTGTTTCGAGGTCACAATCAAATAATTTCAAATCAAATCATTTTGTTCATCTAAATAAGAAACCTACATTTCAATTATCGATAGTATTTTTTTTAATCTACCACCATTTTGTAATCAGGGTCTTCTAACAGTGAAGAAACATGCGAGAAAAACTCCGTAGGGGTCCTTTGTTTTGTCGTTTTTTACCATCAAAACATCACATATATGTACAAATTTTAATTTAGAAATATCTTGGGAGAGTTCAACTCATTTCCAGGGGTTATATCATTGATGTATTCCATTTATATTATAACAAGCCTTATATTTCTGAAGTCATTATAAATTTATAAAGTCACTCATTTTCAAAATGTCCATAAAACTTTTTTTTTAATGTGAAAAGTTGCCAAGCGAGCAGACGGTTCATCTGATGTTAAGTAAATACCGCCGCCTATGGACATCTGCTACACCCAAGGGTTGCAGATGCGTTGACCACCTTTTGAAAATTCGGCTCCGGCCGAACGGCCACGCGAACGTATTATAATTCCACTTTACGCCGGTCTTCTGTGAGGTCGTTGTACGGACGAGCTCCCCATGGCCACCGAGGCACTGCGTGGCCCTACCACCGTGCGAACTTGGTCATTTAAAGTCTATAAATCAAGTAATTCCACTTTGAATACGGCCGGTAAGTTTTTGTTGAATGATTTTCGATTTTGTACAGGTCGTAAACAATGTCATCGTGCAATATCATCTTAAACGAGAGAGATCTGGTGAGCGTCCTGCCCGTTTGCCCCCTTTTTCCATAAAAAACGAGTATATTACAAAACCCTAACACAAACACTAACGAGTTACACAAATGTTCTCAGTAACAATAGAACATGAGGCATGGTGAGTCAGTAAAGACTGTGCCGATCGAAGGAAGTGTGCCAATCGCAGGAAGTAAACGAATTTTTTTTACATCGGCCAACGTTGTTAAGCGAAAACATTTATTTTAACACCCTACATTTTCTATTTAAAATCCCGAAGTTTCGAACACTGCTGGATTTTAGGACTGAAGTTTTCAGCATCTTAAAATCATTACAGTCAGCAAGCTCTTCTCAAGTATGTATTCTCAAGTATTTCGTTATCCTTATCATAACACCGATAGAGAACTTAACATGCATTTATTTTATATAAACGGAGGAAAAATTTTATGTCTCATCTTGAGTACACAGAAAAATTAAACTAATGATAAGAGAAATTAATATCAAAAACGCGTATTATCATTTAACGATGCATAGTGTTCACGTAAGTAAAATAACAATACTTGGGCAAGCTACGTGTCGTATACATTCTCGACAACAAAACCTACGAGTATAGATACGGGTCTTGCAGCAATGACAAAGAAAACCACGATGTCACGGTCGCTCACGAGCGGGCCTATCAGCGCCTATCGCGGATCGAGACTGAGAAATTGACGCAGTTATCGCTTGGCAATCCTCCGCCTCACTATACCATAGTATTATTGTAATATCCACCAAATACATCTACACTAATATTGCGAATATTTGCTTATTACTCATCATTCTCGTGCCATTATATAAATATTTGAAAGCTCCAAATCGATTCCGATTTTTCAATTGAATTCCTAGTATTATTGCGGTAAATCAATGGCCTATATTTCATTAATAATAATAAACTTTCTCAAGAAATTTGTAAATGATATCGAAAGTATAGACATTACTTTCCTTATTGATTACAAGTACTAAATTGTTACAAGTTGCTAAAATTGCAAGATTTACTGAATTTAACAGTTATCTTGAGTGCTATAGATTATTTCTACGTTGCCTGACTAGAAGATACCGCACTTAAACCATAAGGGGCAACGCACGCCAGAAATCACCGAGCAGTTGTTAAAAGCCGCTTCATTAACTTTTCTATTTATCTAACAACATTTGATGCTATGATCCAAGTCGTGCTATCGCTTTCGAATGACTAAAACAATTTTAAACAGAAAACATTTCATATTTCGATTCAATTCTCTTATATTTTCTCGTAATTCTCTTATTTCCAATTAATAATATAAATTTATTCTATATTCTAATATCTATTTGATAATAATTATAATTATACCCATTGCATATAAATTATCTATTTTTATGGATTCCTTGCGTTCATTTTAAACTTAAATTCCCAACGTTTCTCGTGCGTTGCAGCATTAATGGTTATGGGACGGAAATTTTCACACAAATGTTGCAAATAATGAGATAAATCTGTGAATATACTGTCATTTAACGAAATTCTATTCTGATTTCATTTGAAACCTTTAAGTGTTACTTTTTAGCAATAATAGCGAAGCACTTTGCTAACTCTTAAAAATCAAAAATATCGAATTAAAATGCCATCGAATTTTATTAATTTATTAAAAAGTTTCAAGTTGAAATTGTAGCAATCCTACTTTAAGTTTTAATAAGTGCACAAAGTTTGATTCATTTATTATAAATAAAATTGCTACTGCAAATTGCACAGTTGTTATATACAATCAGTATTTAGTTATATATTAGTAAATTAAAAACAAACATGATTAAACGAAGCCAAAGCTTGTCTTATAAGCTGTGAGGGAATATTATGTTTTTTTTTTAATTTTCAGAGTGAACATCCACAAAGCTCATCATCGCCAATGAAAAAGATGAAAGCTTTGAAGCGGGTGAAACTATCCTTGGGGATATTACTGGTAAGTATATCCTTAATTTTAAAATATATAAGTGTATATATAATAATATGTATTAAGATACATATCATTATACATGAGTACCCTCAAAAGGAGTATATTCATGATAGTTCTAACTTCTTTGGTCAATGCAGTAACGTAACATTGATTCACCCTGTCATAAGTCGGAAAGAAAAGTCATAAAAAACATACTGACCGTCAATATTGAGAAACCTTGGAACCATTAGTAGAATACCTTACTTTCTGTTGGTTGTACAAATAGACGACAAAAAGCTGACTCATGTCATGTTCAGCAATTCGCACCTATTACTTAATCGTTAGTCTGCTGACCAATATCATCATCATCAGATGGCTAATGATATTTTATGGCACAAATCTTTCTTTTTTTATAATTGTTTAAACTAGAACTATAGCATCATTTCTTGGAAACACCGTAGCCGTACTTTTAGTTTTATCCACGAATACTTTGCGGCTCCCCTGCCGCTGGGTCGGGCGAGTGGCAGGGGTGTCATATGTGGGAGTTAAAAAACCACGTTGCACCTGTCTCTGTCGCATCGGCTAAGGACACGGGAACACGTAGAAGCAATCTTCCGGACCCCGACGCGACTATAGTCTTTCTGGTTCTCCTCCACCTGGCCGAGCCAGATGGTGCTGTGACGGTGCAATTGGCACAGCCCACGAGCCCCATATTGAGCTATATACAGTCTCATGCCTGCAGCTTGTGGTCTGACTATCAGGGGATAAGGCTGCGCGCGTATTCCAACCCCCTGTGCCCTGGTCTCCGGCGGTAAATATCCAGGGTTGCAATTGCCTCCCTTAATCTCTCCGGGAACTCGATCCAGGTGATAACGTCCTCGCAGTTGCGAGGACAGCACCACACCCGTAGCCGTTCTGAAATTTTGTGTTAGGTTATGGTTCCTCTAATACTTACATACATAAAAATTATTGGTTAGGTTTTTACCATACCATCGAGTATCCACGCTTTAAAAGACAAAATTGAATGTTAATGTAACATTATCACTTAGAAAGACAAGTATGACATCATATTATTCTTTTGAAACAAAGTAATATGTTATATTAAAACACTGCTACCCTACCGAAACAAATGCGAATGTTTAAGACTGTTCACTTCTTTGTAACAATTTTCGTTCAATACAAATATGGGCATTTTGATGATCGCTACCTATTACCTCTTAATTTGCCAATGGACTCCGTTACCATCGCGATTGCGGACCTGACAAATAAAGACCCTAAGGCAGGCCAAAGAGCGATATGTTTCACCAGTTACGCAAGCCGTTGTGGCGCCGTGACAAGGCTCGGGTCAAAAGGGAGCGCGTCACAGTTGATCACGTATTACTATATCTTGCTACGAAGTCTGTTCCCTCGCTCGCTGATTTTTCTTCATATTCAACATATAAACAACATATAAACATATATTCAACATATAAACATCACACGGTGCATTTTTTATTACCGTAGAGTCCGAGATTACTGCATTTACAGATGAATGATGATGCTATCCATGGATATTTCTATTTTTTACAGATTCCTTAAATGCAATAATCTCTTTTTCTTTTCAATATTTGCCCTTAAACAAGCCACCTTCGGAAATAAATAAAACGGAATATTATCTGCGTACTCTCTTAAGTGTATACTTATGGGTATATGATAGACTGATATATGATCTATATCAGTCATTACATATAATCTATATAGATTTGATATAATTTATGATTTGATATATTTATGTAATATACAGGGTGGCTTTTCTAAGTGTATCCATTTTTTTAATAAAATTTTAGACATAAATAATGTTATATAAAAAATTATAAATATTTAAAATCACTCGTAAGTAATTAATTTCATTCATATGAACTTATCTCAAAAAGTGTGTGATTTATACACAACTGATTTATTTTACGCGCGATCATTCATAACTAACACGCACAGAAGTTCCTGCACAGTAAAATTTAGGTATTAATGAATGACTACCGCATTGTCAACACGTTCTGTTTTTTAGGGAATAGAATGGAATTTTTTTGAAAACATAAAAACTTTGGTTTTTTATTTCAATAAGCGATTATACTACCGAGTCTGAACCTCCTGTGTAAATTTGAGCACTTCTCAAAAAATCTCCCTGTATAAAGATTTATATTCTGCTAAGCATAAGACAAAACGTATGTTGGACGCCCCAAAGACGGCGAGCTACTTTTTCTTTTCTTAAGATCAAAAACTGTTTACTTTCAACTAACAACTATAAATGATACACACAAGCCCCTACTTGATATTTTAAATCACCAGATATCCCATACTATATCTTTAAGAGCAGTGCAACAGAACAGAATAACAATTTCGAATAATAATAAAAGCAGTATGTCCAACTACAAACCTGATTTGCAAAAAACATCTTCAAAAATGTAGAGCCAATAGCAGACACTAAATTATTGTTATATGGCCGGCGCCTGCGCAAATATGATGTAACTTATACACCCACCGTGACTTTATCCCCCAAACCGTATTCGGAACGAACTGAATACAATAGCAAGTTCCGTGAAATCTTCAACTAGTGGACTCAATCAAATTCGCTAATCAACATCAATACAACATTATCGTAAATCATGGATGATCATTGAAAACATTTTCAATTAGGTAAAAAATATTGGATTCAAAATGATATTTAAAAATCCTCATGATAGTCTTCTATGCGATGAGATACGAATGAATAGAAAAAAATCATGTTAGAAATTAATTTGTCATTTCCACGTAGGAAATGTAACGGCGAGAGATAAGTTTATATGAGTGAGAAATATTTTCATTCTTTATCTTTCATAATATTAAGCCTTTGTATGGTCGAGTTCATTGTCCGATTCCCGTAATATATCCAAACATTAAACACGTCGAGCCGTTTAAAGTCGACTCAATATTGAGTCACCGAATGTATCCGACCGTAAACCATTAGAAAGCATGATGGCGCTCGTATTTTTATGCGCGTCAGTCTATTTGGTTACTGAATCACGCGACCTTTATTTGAATCCCAATCTGAGTATTTGTTTAACACTTGAATAATCATTAAATATGTTAGCTGCTATTTTTCAAATTCTTTACGATTTGATTACTCGGCAGTACACGGATCTGTATGATGAGTTACAACGGACCCCGCCCATATCACTAAAATCAATTTTCTCGAATATTAATTATTGAGAAATCTTTATTTCGGCACAATGGCGCTTAGATAATTTTCGCCAACTCCATTTGCATATCGAAGACATTAGTCAAGTTTGTGCAACACGAATAAGAGTGTTTATCAAACGCGCGGCCGATGCAGGTGGCATTTGGCAATGCTTTGAGAATGGCCCCATTACGACGTCACAAGGCATAAATTACCCGGACACAGAATGAAACGCACTGCAAAGGACGATACAGCTAATCTCATACAAAAATCTGAGTCACACTCGAATATTTCTTCGCATCTCCTATTTTCCATTAACGATAAGGAGAGCACGCTGTATATTCTATGGTTATTGACTTTACTGCTAGTGATGGACTAACTACACATTTGTTTATTAGTTCTGATGTTCATGAATCAGAAACTAGACTCATATTCGAAGATCAATATTGATTTAGTGTTACATATTTAAATACTAGCTGCTGCCCGCGACTACGTCCGCGTCGAATAGGTTGAAGGCGTAACATTCACACAGAATGACAGATATACATAAAATATTTATATAAATTTTAGCCTATGCCTTATTCTGATGTATAAGCTATATTATTGTAAAGTTTCGTTAAAATCCATTCAGTAGTATTTGCGTGAAAGAGTAACAAATATCCATCCACACATACAAACTTTCACATTTATAATATTAGTAAGGATGGTGTAGCCACGCGACAGCTTATAAAGCGAATAAAAATAGAACAGAATATAGGCATTACAGTGAAGATGAGTACATACTACATTAGATGAGTACATGTAGTATGTTCTTAAAGTATCGAAAAGACAATATTTTAATGTTATCGTTAAATAATATTTTTAACATTTAATTGCATCACAGTCACTACTAAGTCACTACGTAATATAAAACAAAGTTGTCCCGCTGTCTATCTGTCCCTTTGTATGCTTAGATCTTTTAAACTATGCAACGGTTCTTGATGCGGTTTATTTTTACTAGATACAGTGATTCAAGGGAAGGTTCATATGTATAATACATTAAACCCGTGCGAAGCCGTGGCGGTTCACTGATATTTAATACGGTGATCACAAACAATTGTTTTATATCACACATTAAACAACTTTAGTTATAAACCAAATAAACAACTTTAGTTATAAAACAAAGTAACATAGTGAACGTTTAGGTTTTATTCAGTAAATGGACTATGTGAACCTTATGTTACAGTTAAACCGTAACCTTTTAACATGACAAGAAGGTACGTGTTGAACATTTGTTGGTGATATCAATCTTGTTGCCGGGAGCCGGGAGCCGTAATGTCAACATTTGGACGGGTGACCGCATTATTGATATTTGTGTTAATCTTGTCTTAACTTCGGTGAACGGCTAGTTGACGATTGATCTATGGTATAAGCTGTTTTGATACTTACGAAATGTCGGATTTTGCTTACGCACAGATTTTATTTGACAAACTTGGTGTGAATCTTATCGTCGTTTTGTTTAATACAATTACAAGTTACAAGTGAAGATCCTTATGCATAACACATTGTCGTCTTGACGTCAATTAAATGATTTCGATTATCAAACTCGATTGTTACCAAAGTGGAATCCAAACGAACTATGTCGCATCGACTTATCGAAAGCGTTAAAAGTAGTAACGTAAACTCGTTGCAAAAACTGGACTACCTGCAATAGGAGAGAAGTAAAATAACGCAGATAAAGAAACCTACTGCATAGCGATGTTCTCTCACACTGCAGTGTTTGATAGATAACACCCGAATCAAAAGAAATGGATACTTGACAATGATGATGATGATGCAGTTACGTTTTACTGCG